TTCCGGCGTCGGGTGGATGTCTGTGCCTTATAGCGTTCAACAACAAGATGGCGGACGAAGAAAAAGATTTAACATTAAAGTTTATTGAAGATTACAGAAGCTTTCCATAACTCTGGGATCCAAATAATAAACTTTATACAAATAAAGTAAAGAGAAACGATGGTTTGCAAGTTCTGGCTACTAAATATAAAATGGATATCGATGGAGTTAAAAAAAAGATAAAAAGTCTTTTTTTTTTTTTTTTTTTTTTTTTTTTTTTTTTTTTTTTTTGGCTTTAGGACTAGGCCATGCAGCCAGAAACTAGGTTGGATATTTTATATATTTCTATAATTATGGACGACAAACACACGACGTCACAACATCCATGGCGAAGGCGAGATTCGAACTCGCGGCCCGGCCGGCCGGCTGATCAGTAGCACGACACTCTGACCAACGCGGCCAACCGAGGCCCCATAAAAAGTCTTCGCTCGTATTTTTCCAAAGAGCATCAAAAAGTCATCAGGAAAAAGAGCGGTGCTGGATCCGATGAGATTTATGTTTCACCGTGGTTTGCTTACAAACAACTCTTATTCACTGCTGACTCGGTGACGCCGCGGGAAACTAGAGAAAGCAGTACTGAGGATGAAAAGGTATTTTAAAATGCATATTTATTTAGGCAAATCAATTTATTACTTTTTCCACAAAATAAATGTGATAGGTATATAGTTATAAGTGTCGGGTTTGAAACGGTATTGCTCTAATATCTGACATGAAATAATTCATAAATTCATCTCGTATTTGGTTCGATGTATTTGATGACCTGCTAACTTTATTTCACTAGGTATAGCTTCACGTAACTGGGTTGACTGCTTTGTAATTTTTGGTTTAAGCAATTTCAAAAGTCGATCAAATTTTTTTTTGGACATGCGTGTAAAATTTTTAAAAAGAATATCTTTATCTTCTCTTAGTTCACTCATAATCACGTTATTTCGATTATTATAATAACCTCGTATCCAAAACTTTCTCTTGGTTCTTTTTTTACTGGAATTTCTGATGACCAAGTAAGCTGCACATATTCTACCAAGTAAAATATTCTCATCGCACATGTTTCCAAATTATGACAGAAACTACGACTAAACTATGGTGTTGCTTTCATTTAACGCATTCACTTATTGTAAGCGTTAAACGAAAGTCGAATAGAAAGATGAAGACGAAAGTTGAGGATGAAAAGGTACAGTGTGGACATAGCTATTGTGACTCTTGCAACATGTGGTCGGGCATTATCTTGTTGGAAAGTTGGATCTGCCAGGGTGTCAAGATAGGGTAAAAGATGGGGTTCTAGAACTTCGTGGATATAACGCTGCGCGTTCATGTTACCTCTGATGAAGATTAAAGGTGACAGGAACCATAAGCTTTAGCACCCCAAACCATAACTCCAACAGTGTGATGAACATGTCTTTCAACAAAAAACTGTGGATTCCTCCTTTCACAACGTCGCCTTCTAACCCTGGCACGACCATCGTGCATGCCTAAACAAAATCGAGACTCGCTAGTAAAGACAATACTGTTCCATTCCTGATCCCAGAGTGACCGTTGTCTGCACCACTCAAGGCGATTACGTCGGTGTTCTCGAGTTAAAGGGAGGACCCAGTGTGGCCGGTATGAAAACAAGCCAAAACTTCTCATTCGTCGGTAAACACTTCGCATGCCAATAGGTCTTCCGTGTTCTGCAAACCATTCATTTGCAATGAACCTGGTAGTGGAGAAACGGTTCCTTAAGGCCAATAATTTTAGGCGGCGATCTTCACGGTCTGTTGATCTACGGCGGCGTCCAGTGCCCCTTGCTCTTTGCATACGGCCTTCTCGAAGCCATGCCTGACAACACCTAACCACAGTGTCTACACTTCTTTGCACTCTAACTGCAATTGCCCGAAAAGAAAGTCCAGCTTCCCGAAGTCCCACTATACGGCCCCTATCAAACTCACTAAGTTGACGAAATCGTACAGGTCTCCGTACTCTAGGCATCGTAACCGATCGTAAAGGATGTCAGAACCAAAATCCGCCAACGTTGATTCTTTATTGCAGCTAAAATATTCATTTTTAGAGCGTTAGTGAATTTAAAAAAAGTATAAAAACCGGAATGTCCAACTGATAAAGCTGAACATTTTTTCACTTGTTATTTACAGTAAGATAAATACATTCACTAACTTTTATTAAAATAAAACCATTTAAACTGGGTGTTCGGATTTATATGTCACTTAGTATAGTTACTGTCAAAACAATCTACGAATCTGTAGCGTGATTGTTGACCTAATAACACTAATACACTCAACAAATTAATGCAGGACTATATTTCATGCATTTTTTGTCTAACAAATGTTAATGTAAACGTTTTCGTAATAACTTACCCACTAATAATAATAAAGACTTAAAATTCTCGACAGTATCAATCTGCCTGTCGTATTCCCACAATTGTTCTTTCTAATATATGGGTTACGCCTTATAAACGACACAGTCATTGTGTAAGTCAAATAACTCTCAATTATTCAATGCATTCTTATATTGTCCACAAATTTTGTCTGCGTTGTTGTCTTTAGTATGCACGAATATTTCTTCAATCGATGTATAGGCTTGGCAATGGTATGGTTGACAGAATTCGGATTCAACACATTTGTTCTTGAGGAAGTGAATTGAAACAATGAAACAATCGCTATACACATTTGGCCGCTTTTACATTCTTTATCAAAATAACTGAATAATTCAATTTTTGAATGTGAATATTGAATTGGTACATAAAAATCTGTTTCAAACTATAGAATTACAAGGTGTGGTTTTGACTTTTTCATATAACGTAGGCAAATATTGGGGTACCACCTGGCCAAAGTTGAAGGGGTAATTTGTCGTTCAATAAACAGAGATTCGGAGATGTAGTGTTGCCAAGGTGCAGGTTGTTGTAAATTTCTATGCCATGAAGAAACTGATTAAGGACAAAACAATATTAGAAAGATTGTTGGTGAGTATAATCTTAACAAACTCAGCTGATCGATAGATCCCAGATCCAAATGAAAGATATCTTCTACACCAGCATCGCAGTACAAATATGGCCGCCGTGTGAGAGGTGCAGAAAAAGTTGGACGTACATATCGCCCGGAGATAATTAGAGATGGTCTGGGAGCGATCTGTGACGGTGCAGCTGATGATACAGAGTAATCTTTTCGATGCCCGTGTTTGGAAACAGAATCAGAGACTTTCGACTCGCTGTACTACTCTAATGAGGAGCCAGCGGGGATTAATTGATAAACATTCCCGCTGAGAGACAAAAACCATTACTCTCCCGTTGATATCAACGGATTATACGCACTACTGGAACCAGTGGCGGTACCAACTGGTCAAGCAGAAAAATATCGTGGGGAGAGATCCAAACAAGATATCGCATGTCAACTGACCTAAAAAAGAAGGCTTAGATTTAACTAAAAAACGCGACACCTAAATCGAGGTTTACGTAGTCATGCCATAAGTTCTGTCCCTCGTTTTCAAACAAGTGTAGACCTGTTAATACTTGTCCGATTGTTTACATTGTGGTGTCAGTTGATTAAGCGCTTTTCGGGTAATTACATATACCTCAGTTGTATTGATCTCTCGAAGCATAACGATGGAGTGGGGCAAGGCAGAGAACCGTATTGCAGTGATAGCTTTACATAAGTGTAATCACAGTGCTAGTCAGATTTTGAACTCTTACGCGGCCTTCAAATATCGCGTAAATTTGTGTCTAGGACCATTCAGCGGTACAATGAGACGTCCTCTGTTGATGACAGGCCAAGAAGCGAAGACCTCGTCAAGTAAGGACTCCAGCAGCCATCAAAGCCGTAAAAGCCAGGATTCAAAGGAATCCACTCCGGAAGCAGAAGATCCTATCCAGGGAAATGAAGATTCCTGTCCGGACGATGTCGCGCATCATTAAACAAGACCTAGGGCTAGGGGCTTACCGGAGACGTACGGGCCAGCGACTTACGGCCACCTTGCGACACATCAGGGCGACAAGATCCAAGAAGCTCTTGGAGAGGTACGCAGCTGGGGATTCCGAAAGATTTTGTTCACGGATGAGAAAATCTTCACCATAGAAGAAAAATTCAACCGACAAAATGACAAAGTGTATGCAAGGAGTTCACAGGAAGCTTCGGAGATCATTCCGAGAGTTGAGAGAGGCCACCACCCTGCGTCAGTCATGGTTTGGTGGGGGGTGTCCTACGAAGGGGTCACTCAGCTCCATTTCTGTAAACAGGCGTGAAAACAAAAGCGGCAAACTATCAGAGCGACATACTGGATCCTATCGTCAAGCCTTTAAGTGGTACATTGTTTGCCAACCAACACTGGGTCTACCAGCAGGATTCCGCCCCCGCTCACAAGGCTAAGAGTACGCAGCGCTGGCTGGAAAGCAATGTGCCAGAGTTCATTGCTGCGGAAGATTGGCCCTCAGGGAGTCCGGACCTCAATCCTTTAGACTACAAGTTGTGGGACCTGCTAGAGCAGTTGGCCTGCTCCAAAGCCCACCGTAATATCGAGTCCCTGAAAGCGGATTTGATCCGATCAGCGGCAGCTATTCCTTTGGAAGCTGTGCGTGCAGTGATAGATGAGTGGCCCGCGAGATTGAAGCAGTGTGTGAAGGCCAAGGGGGGACATTTGAATAAAACTGTTTGATTATGAATTCTAAAAATGTTGTCGAATAAATAATATCTTTCATATAAATATATCTTATCTTGTTTCATTTTATCATGAGATTATCATGGGACAGAACTTATGGCACGACTACGTATTTGGTTTACTCGAGCAAACCAAGCCGTTACCTTAGAGATAAAAAAGTTCATTTATTTTCCCGTTGATGTTACAGATAACATATTATAGCAACTACTTATCAATTTACTGTATTCTCATAAACAAAGACAGTGGAAAATAAACTTGATAAATTGACCCAAACGGGTATGCAGGACGCCCATGCTCTCAAATGTTCCTGCCATCTTATTGGCAGAATTTGACATCATAGCTCTAAGGCACTAAATGATATTTGCAAGTGCATATACCAGAGGACCAGAATATTTATTGATTTTACCCGGTCCTTGATGTCGTGTGTCATTACTAATTTTTTCGTAACAAAAGTTTATTCTTTACCTAGAGAATATTGCATTCTTTAATACCTGCTTTGTGAGTTGAAAAAAATTAATCCATCATTTCGAAAATCGAGATAATTTACACAATTTGAATTTTTCAGGAATAAATAAACAGACCGTCATTCACGAAATAATGAGTTTTAAAGGACTTTTTGGACTTAATACAGTATTTTAATTTTTCAGAAGTAGTCACATTTTGAAAATATACTTTTAAAAAAATTGTTGGTAATATTCGATTGATACCGTCAACTATTTGATAACCATAACGGTTCTTTATACAGGGTGGCCGATATTTAACTGACTGGTTTGTATCTTGAACATTTGTGAACTGAAATAAAATGTCTATTTTTTCATCTTAATCTTTTATTGAAACTTCGAAATTATGTATAAAAAATAATATAAGACAAATGTCCGCCTCTAGAAGCCGCGCAAAGCTGAGGCCCGTTGATTCCACTTTACATCACTTTTTGGTAGGTTTTCATTGGTATTTAGAAATGCTATCTACGCGGAGATATTTTTCGAGGAGATTTTTGGTGTAATGGAAGGAATAATACACTTATGGAAAAAAAATCGGTAAAAAACGGTAAACGGTATGTTTCTTGATCGTTAAAAGCAGTGCTGTTCAGTGAAAGACTCGAGTAAAATTTGTGTAAGTCCATCTCTGACCTTTACTTTTATTGCCAAAATCAATTTCTTATGTTAATTCAACGTTGTCTGTCTTCAACGACTAGACCTATACCGTACTGATGATTGCTAAAAAGCACGAAACAACCTTATATACAACTGTGTATGGTCACAGAGACTGAATCCAAGCAGATCCTATTCTCTCTGTAATTCTATATATAACTTGAGACGTGGTCATTGTCGTCTAAACCAGTTAGGTGAAAAATTAAAGCTTCCGCCTTTTGTTGGGTACTTCGACAAAATTTAAGCAAAGAGGACTCTTTATACTTTTTTTAATTCTCTCTAGCTTTCAATGGCCTTTGCCATCGTCATCAGGAGCTGCAATTACAATGATAACAGTAGCAACAAAAGTGTAAAATGAATTTAAATTGAATCAACTTACAGTAGTATGTGAGGATGATGCTAATTGTTGTTTTCGTATAGGATGAGGGAAACGTCCAGTAACATGGTGAGAGCTGGATACATGGTACAATGGTTAAAATTATATAAAATGCTCTGTTTTCTAAATAATTTTTAATCTGTCTTTAACTTGTCTTGTCATATTTTATTATTTATAATTTTTCACCTATATATATATATATATATATACCTAGTACCTGCAAACTAGAGCATCTTGCTCTGACATATTTATGATTTTTTCTTGAATGCATTTGTATATTAAAGAAAAATATGTATTACTGTGAACAAATGGTACTGCACTGGCATTAGGTGAAGACCTCTCGTTAAGATGGATTTTATACGCAGATATTGCGAGATAATTCTGTCGATTACGCTGTGGCCCCGCAGAAGTCGACGTCCCTTGCTGGGATGCATATGATACGTCAGACGTCACGCACGGAACACCAAATGGGAAGTGATGATGCGTCTACTACGCTGCTCATTCCACATT